GGGGAGGGAGAGGGGCCGTACGCGGGGTCTAGGCGCGTATGAGGAAAGATCTTAAAACGGGGAGATGACAAACGGGGTAGGAACGTAAACCAGAAGTTTCAGCCTCCCAGCTTTCCTGGGTGCTGAGATGAAAGTAGGTGACAAAATGCACTCGCTTCCGAACACACACACACACGTAGACAGTCTCTCGACAATATGCGTTTTTGCTGGCTGTACCGGCGCTATAGTGCTGCACAACAAAAACGCATAAAAAAAAGATTGCTTTCGCATGCCCGAGAAAAGTGCTCAACAGAAACAGTTGGTCACCTAAGTAAACCTTAACGCAAGTGACGAAAGCCATATAAGTATTATAATCTCGTCCTTGCAGCCAAATTTTATGGCAGTTCTTCGCTTCCTGCACGGCGTCCGGGAGTACATTTAGCAGAATGTGCATCTGAAACCGAATTCATTTCCAAAAATGTGCAATTGCCGCATGAGATGACACATGAGATGACAGTTCGGGATCGATATCGTTTCATGAATGCAAGGAGTATCTGAGTTACTACTCAGAAGTAAGGCACGCACTTGCAATACGCCGTTATCTGCGCCGTTCCAGTTCGATGGCTGCTTGTACTGCCAATTTGCCCAATCATTCAAAAATTTCTTCGCAAATGGAGTATTTTTTACCTGAAAAATAGCAGCAAAATCAAACTGTAATAAAATGAAAAAAAAGAAAATATTGTGCTGACTGTTTAGGAGCGCTGCAGTTGGGTTATTTTAAAAAATTTTTGGTCAAAAGAGAAAACGCTATTTTTAAGAATTTAAAAAACGCCAAGTTCGTTTGTTAGAAAGCGCTAAGAATAAGAGAGTAATGGCTTACTGAAAAGATAATAACTCACAGAAAAAATTCTGTCTGTGAAGCGACATTTTTACTGTAATGAAGTAGTTGCAGAAACAGATATTCAAAAGAAAAAGAAAGCGAGGTTATTTTAAAAAACCTGAGAACTAAAAGTTCAGTACGTGCTTTGAAAGATAAAACGTGTTCTGGGGTTCTTCCTGTTACACTTTTTCGCCTGTTTTTTCCCCCTCATCTCTTCCCGCTCCAACCAAATATGCTACTGTGCGCGATTTCAGGAACAATTCCGTTCAGCCCCCGAGCATTGCAGTTGCCAATGCATGATTTTCTGATGCTGAGCATTCAAGAAGCAAAGGAAGCGCACAGAGCCGCAAAGGGATAAGTAAGCACATTGGGTGCACGAGGGAGACAAGAGAAGAGTTGGTGGAGGAAGAGCGGAGGGGAGGAGTGAGGACGGATGGAGGTTTGAGACAATGAGGAGAGATTACCAATGATCAATGTTTCCAGAGACGGTATTTCAGAAATCAAACTATCTCGAAAGTCCTGCAAAGTCGAACAACAGCTGCACTTACCAAATAATTACCAGAAGCAATTTCCCAGTTGAATGCGCGCTCGTAAAAGACGATGTCAACCCGCGGGTCGATCCATTCTTCGATGCAGTGATTCGGATTGACGACACCTGTGTCCGCGTCCAACACCAGCATCCAGTCCGTTTCATTCAGGTATTGCGCTGCTGCACAGTGCTTTTTAAAAAACAACTGCAATTCATCCGCTTAGTTGTAAAACCCCCTCGAAACAGTGTGATTGGCTAGCCGCTATGCCTGCAAAGCAGCGCAGCAGGGTTATCAATTCGCAATTTTTTTTAAGTAGACTGGCAGCTCTATCGCGGCAGTAACTAAACGGGCTCGGTATTACCGTATCCACGTTGTCTGGGCGGAATCATTCTTGGATGTGTAGGAGATTAAGAAATGCACTGAACGCTGTCCTCTGAAATACTGCGAAAGTTTTCTTTTTTTAAACACTT